TAGTAATAGAGTACTACCCATAGTCTTAGTCTTAACAAAATATTTATTTTTTTTTGTTGACGGATCATTGGGTAGTATGCAGAATTCCACATCGGAGATAAGCAGATGGCTGCATTCCAACAATTCTTTACTTAGACTTTTCGGTCCGGCGTCATATGTGTATGTTACATTAAGAATTGCTTAACATAACTATATATTATTTACATTTGTATATGCTGTGTATGCTGTTACAGCCGCGGAGCTGTACTCAATTCCTTCTCTTGCGTCCACGTCGCGCACCCTGGAAACGTGAGCAACCCATGTGTAAGATGCGGTAACCAGCCTGTGTGCAGCCTTGGGCCACGACTAAAAAAGAGAAGAGTGGAGCCACTCCGACTTATTCGGTTTAAGGGTCCATTAAAGTCTTATTGCAGCGTTTTTTCACCAGAAGCGCGGCTGCGAGCGGGCGCCGCAATAAAAATAGCCTCAATGAAAAACTTAAACATGCTTCCGCTGAGAGACCGTCCTTACGATGACGACCCCCGCAAACGTTTAAGGGATCATGATTTGCACCTGGAATCTCTGGTCCCTTAATTGGGAAGGTGCCGCTGCCCCGCTGGTTGATGTCTTACTGTACAGCACTTTTGGTGTGGGATTTGTGGTGAGAGAGAATACTAGCATCCCTGGTAGATGAACGTCTTGTTACAATCCGCATCAAAGCGAAATTTTTCAACATATCGTTGCTTGGCGTACGTGCCTCGACGGGAGAGAGGGACGATTTGGTCAAAGATACTTTTTATGAGCGCCTGGAGCATACCTATGAGCGCTACCCCACCAAGATGTGAAAATCTTTCTGTGCAAGGAACGTATCTTTGGCACAACTGTGAGAAAGTTCAGCCGCCACATCGAAACATATTCTAATGGATTACTTAGCTGTCCCTTAAAGGGAAAACACAAAAGCAGATCAATCATGTTGTGGCAGACCGAATACATGTATTCAGTGTTCTTGAAGTGCGCACACTCCAAGGACCCAACATCGACTCGGACCACTATATTAATGCAGTAAATACCCTCACCTGCCTCTGTGTATCAAAGAACGCTCGTCAGTCAACACAAGGAAAGTTCGAATTTCAAGCTCCCTATACACAGCTGCAGCCGATACTATTGAATTTCGGAAGGGTAGCAACAACAGCTGCATACATCGAAACCTTGCGGGATGGGGTAGATACCGCGAACTGAAGAGGGAAGCAAGACGCATGAGCAGTCAACAAAAGGAAGAGATCGAGGTGCGTGAGTATGAAGTGCTTAAGAATCGAGACGACAAAGGGTAATGCTTGAATATTCTACGAAAAGATACGATGGCTTACAGAATGTTTCAAGACCGGAGCACACTCACACAAAGAGGAGATATAGAGACGGACCCGAAGGGACACTTTTTAAGAATAAGGGACGTGAGTTGTAGAAGAATTCACTTGATTTCGTTTCACGTCAAGCTGTAAGGCCGTGTTTTTTTTCTGCTGTGCATTCACAGTTTTTCCGGTTCTAACGGACATGTGAACATCATTTTAATTACAAAAGTAAACATTATTTATGTGTAAAAATGATGAAATGATTTAATGTTTTGATAAAACTATTTAAATTAAATCGTTTTAATTGTTATAGGGCACTATTATAAGCAATATTTAAATGTTTCGCGTGATTATATTAGCTTTTATTTATTATATTTTATATTTTTATTTTATATTTTTTGTAAGATAAACAAGCGTAATTAGAACAATTTAAAAGATTAATTTGAATATTTTTTGTAAGAGAAATAAAAGTCAGTTTAACAGAATAATATTCCTTATCGAATTTGCCAAACATAAATGTTAAAAAAAAATGTATACAATTTCAGAGTTTTCCTCATATATTCCTTCAGTATGTTTAATTGAAATTCCATATAAATTTTTTGTTCGTACTACTTTGATTTAAGAGGAACCTAAGCTCTACTCGGTAAAGTACTTGAAATTGGAATATTGAATATGAATGTAAATATTGAATTTCACATATCAAATATTGCAGTAAAGTACTCGTATAAGTAGTAAAATTGTATTCCGATATGGATAGAAACCAAATTTTTGCACTTACTTTTAACCAGGTAAATTAAAAGTTCAAGTAGAGTCAATTGGACTCTCGATCCACTTTACGGCGACGGTTTCGATCATGGTAGCTTATCAGTTCATCGCTGTTTGCCACGGGTAGTGGAGATGGGATAATTGGTCTTTGCTCTACGTGATATAAAGCGAATATCACAAATGTGGTGATTTTCAAAAATTCATATATTGGAAACAATTATTAATGGGTGCGCGAAAATGTAAATATATTCGGAGGCAACGCGATATTAATACATTAGTTGGCTACATTAAAAAAAATCTTTGAAAAAGGAGTTCCGGGTCATTGTGGCATCTAGAGAAGTTCTTCGCGAGCTTAGGAATTTTAAAAATCGTTCTCTCACGGAGATAGGTAGGCCAATCGAATCAAATACCATATAAAAGTTCAAGAAACAAATTAATTGCTTAGGAAAAGGTACGGTCTGGCCGTCATCGAAATACAATGGCCTCACAGGTAAAACTAGGGTATACAAATATGACTGTTTAAAAAGTTCAGAAAACGAAAGGCACCGTAATGAGTTTGGTCATTTGGCAAGTAAACATCTTCAGCTACAAAAACCAACATGTTTCAATTGCAATGAACCTGGTCATAAACAAGAGGCTCTGTCGCGATTATAGAAGACTTAACGAGAAGGTAATAAGAGACAATTGTCCTGGGTTACAAAAGGGGGGTCACGGTTACGACTCTGGATTTAAAGAACGGATTTTTTCTTGTATTGTATATTAGGAGATAAAAATGCAAGGTATTATATTTTTGTGACATATATGGATGATCTCAAAACTCTTTCGAAGGGTATAGATCAGGGCGTGAAAAAGTTGAACACTTTTTAGGGGCAGCAGCCAAGTATAATCTACAGATGCCTTGGAACAAATGCCAATTCCTGAAAACCAAAGTGTAGTTCCTAGGTTATGTTTTAGAGAATGGTATCATAAGACCATAAATGGAAAGACTCAGGCGGTTAAAATAAGAAAAGTGTATAAGTATTTCTTGGACTTACTTTGAATGTTCATGGTTTAAACATGGTTTAATGCACTTGCTGATTGCAGCTGGTTTTCCGCGGGGCAATGGTGAAGTAGGACAGATGCACCGAATAGTAGGAAACCAGAAAGTATCAGCGCAGCAAACCATAAAAAGCACTCCAACACGTAGCACAAGATATTTGCCTTTTCGAATTTTAGTAGCGGAAATATGAGAATTCCATTCGCTAGAGTTCCATGACTAAATAGATAATGAGGCCATACACGATTTAGAAAACATGGCATCTATAAAGAAGAAGAAGAACAAGGGAAATTTTGATGCCAATAGGCGTACCAAATAAAGTAGTTGCTTAAGGTTAAAGCATCTCAACCACTATGTAGTTGAAAGGGTCAGTAAATGTGAGGGATCCCGGCATAGTCAGGAATGCCAGATGTAGGAACCCCAACAGGCAACTCTTCACACTTGACGAAGAAAAATGGCAAAACGAGCAAGGGACGCAAAAAAAAAAAACATTGACAAGGACAGATAACTTCCGAAAGTTCAACCGCGAAGACGTGTTATTATCTATAATAATTAAAATATGTTTCCAAAAATGTAACAATTAACAGTGAATTTAAATAAATTCCCATTTCTGAAAACAACAATGATGGAAAAGAAATTTGGAGGATAAACAAAGAACAATTTCGTTGGAAATGTGTATCTTGCGCTCTGTGGGTATGATTGTGTTATGCTAGATGGCGTTAGAAATATAACGGTGGAAATGTTAAGAAATTGACTCGGTATATATATTTTTCTTGAATAAAGACGAAAACGTACGCCAGGCAGCTGAAAATACGAATAATGCTTATGGTCCTGATACTGCGCATACTGTAACAGAAAAATTGTGGTTTCGTCGATTTCTCTACGATGTTAAATGATGATGTTAAAGAAGCTGTACGGTGTGGTCAGCTGTCGATGAAATACTGGAGTCTAACTGTCGTGCGAGCACTATTTAAATTGTCCAGAAACTAAGCATGGCACAAGAAGTTCGATATATGGGCGCTACATAAGCTGACAAGAAAAACTCTCATCTTCTAATAGTAACAAAGCGGACTGATTTCTGAAGCGGAAGGTAACTGGTGATGAAAAGTGGATCATTAAAAGCAACGTCAAATGAAAACGGTCGTGGTCGAAGGGCAGTGAGCTTACACAAACGGTCTCTAAGACAACCAGAAAGGATTTTTTGATTGCTTAGTTAAAAAATCTCGTGTCAAGTCACTATTTATTTCCTATCACGAAACATAAGGATGGGATGATTGAAAAAATTTGTGTGAGCTATGAACTGTGGAGCACAAACCTAAGTTTCCAAAAAACAATCACGCGAAATTGAAAGAAGCAATTTTCGTAGCACCATAGTAACAAACACTTATGGTGTGTGAAGCTTTTAATTTAAATAAATTGAACAAAATACAATAAGGAGCTAGGAGTGGCTTTATTCACGGCATAATACTAGAACAGTTTGTGAGACCAATATATTAAAATACCGCAACGACTGACAAAATAAGCAATTTTCGTTTTTTTAAAAAATATTGTTGGAAGGAAGCAAAATCGATTATTTAATTTTTTAAAGCCGTGAAAGTTAACATTAAAGGTTTTATTAAAAAGCTGCTTATAGTCAATGTTAGCTTTAGATTAGTATTTAATGGTTTGAAATACATGAAACTTATGCTTGATTTAGATCTGCTTAATTTTTTACCGAAATATCCAATTCTTGGCATTTTCGCTCGATAATGAAAAAGACGTTCGGCTCAAATGTAAATTTAAAATTAATTGTATGTTATGTATAATATTAAATGAAAGAGTGTAAATCAAATTCATGACTTCATAAAAGATACCTCTCATTATTTTCTTACTTGATTGCGATCAGCATTTGACTTTAACGGATCCTCTGCTGCCAACATTGCTGAAGAGAACATAATACAGCACAGTATAACGTTTCCAAAGTTGCTATGATTGCAGAGCCAGTGGCAAAATATACGAAACCTGCATAAATAAGAGAGAAATGTAAGTCTAATTTCGTATTATTAAACTCGTAATTATATCAATAGGGTTGTAGATGTCTAGATTTAAGAATTAATTTAATGAGGAATGTTCCATTATAAATAAATATTCATGCGAAACTATTAATTATTAAGGCTAACAAATAAGAATTTTTGGTAAAGTGGATTAAAAAATCTATGGTTATGTTCATATATACGCAAACCTAACGAACTTATTTTATTTAAAAGGCGAAAGAAGGTTTATATCTGTTCAAATTGATACAAGACTATTTAACGAACCTTAAAAATAACAAAGAAACATAAAAAAAATAATAAACAATTTAAAAACCTGTTTGTTTGAGACATTATGAAGAAAGATGAACCCTCCGGAATGGGCTGAATTTTCGAACTTGTAATGACTTCAGACATGCGTCTTGGCCTTGCTGTAATCACATCCTTATCTCCTTCTTCTTTACACAAACATAGTATAATGTTTATAGACACATCAACAGATTTTGAGTCAAACATTTTGTTATTACAGATGATATCCCGAAATTGTGACAATTTCAAAGTATAAAAAATAAATGAAATAGAAATTAAGATCGGTAGTATGAAATGCAAATAATGTAGTCATTGTTATTCATATTCATATTTCCATCTACATTTTGTTGGAATTAGATATGTTAATTGAATTTAAGTATTTATCCCATTTACGACTAAATTATTAAAGAATAATTTACTTTATTTTCTTAATAATATAAATATAAGTCAATGGGAAATTGAGCTTAAACTAGTTAAGTATGGTGTGAAGAGGTCTGACTAAATATAATATGTGTAGTCAATAAAAAGGACCACATAGTCATAGCGTAAAAAGCATACTGTTATGATCTTGCTGAATCAACCTCGATGATTCTCTGAATCCTTCGGGTACGATCTCTGGATTGTTAAATAAAAAATCGCCAACTTAATTTGCAGTTTCTTTCGTTATAAAGAGTTCATCTAATGTCCTTTATTTACTCAGCAATTCACAATTCAATTACAATACACTTTACTAGTTACAATCACTTCTATAAAACTTTCACAATTTATTTTACTTAAATGTAATCTCCAACTTTACTTTACGACTCAATATAAACAAAAAGTTTATTCCGCTTTACTCTGTTCTGATGTTGTCGCCAACGAGTTCACTTTGTAACTGACTCTCTTGGCAGCTGAGTGTCGCCCTTATATAGCAGCCGGCTGCTCGTAGACGAAAGTGAAGATAATCGAGTTGTTCGATATCGAATGTTCTCGTTTTATCGCTCTAGAATGTACTGGTTATCGGCTTCTCTCTACCTCCACCTAAGTCTGATCGTCCCGATCAGACACGTTCGCTGTTCCAAACTGTTCTAAACTCAGCAACCCTTCCGTTGTGGATTGTACTGCAACACCAAATCTCCATTTTGGAAACCCTCATCGATTTGTCATACCTGGCCTTCTATTTATCACTCATAATTTGAGTTCGCTGTCTCACAATAGCATGTACCTCTCTTAGCTCTTCCTCGAGATTGGTAGACGTTACCTTCCCAATTTTTCTCGCACCGCCAGTTATTCCAAATGTGTAATCGCTGGGCAACTGTAGTTCACTACCAAACAATATCCTCGCAGGTGTTTGCCCTGTAGTTACATGAACGGCGGACCGATATCCCATCAGGAACAGCGGTATATGCACCTCCCAATCATCCTGATGCTTTCCGCAAGTGCTCTTCCAAGGTCCGGTTAAATCGCTCTACCATACCATCTGATTGAGGATGTAGGGCTGTCGTTCGGGATTTTTGAATACCAAGACTTTGGCACATATCCTGGAACACCGCCGATTCAAAGTTTCTTCCCTGATCTGAGTGCAATTCTATGTGCGCACCGTATCTAGTAACCCAATTGTTAGTGAATGCATCCGCAACTCTTTTTGATTCTTGGTTTGGGATTGGGTAAACTTCCGGCCATTTACTGTAGTAGTTCATAACCACAGGAACGTATTTTTTTCTTTGTTTGCTCACAGGGAATGGACCGGCTACATCCATGGCAACCCGCTCAAATGGTATCCCTGCGTTATTTTGCTTTATCTGCTCATGACTTCGGGACTTTGGGCCTTTAGCTGCTATGCACTCCGATTGCCGACAGCCATCCCAATAGATTCGCTGCTTGATTTTTTCCAGAGTTTTGTAATGCCTAGGTGCCCTCCACTAGGACAGTTATAGAATTCCTTAAGCACAACCGGAGTTCTTAGCTTCGGTACTACAATTAGCTTCCGGGAGCACTGGCCATCTTCATTTTCCCACACTCTATGCAAACAGCTGGATATCAGTTCTAAACCGTTGTGCCCAGTATACCTTCGCGAAAGGACTTTCAGCAGCCATTTGCTCCTTACTTGGTCGTCTATTTACCTCCAACCCGTGCATTAATAATTCAAAATCTGGATCTTCTTGCTGATATATCCTTAAGTTACTTGCCTCCACTCACTTATTAGCCGGACGTCTACTATGTCTTCTTTCGACGGGACATAGCACCAGCATTACCGTGCGTATTCCCTTTGTAGTGCTCGATTGTGAAGCCTTAACTTTGCAGCCTCTCAATCCTCCGTGCTAGCTGCCCTCCGGGATTCTCGAACTGTAGTAGCCACTTCAGTGCTGCATGGTCCGTTCTAACTCGGAAATGTTGACCATACAGATATTTGTGGGAGTGTTTGATGCAATCCACCAAGGCTAATAGTTCTCTTCGTGTCACGCAGTAGTTTCGCTCTGGTTCTCCAATAGACCGGCTATAGTAAGCAACTATCTGCGAGAGTACACCTCCTATGCCACACCCACTAGCATTTGTTTCCAGAATAAATGTTGCACCTGGAACCGGGCACACTAGCATAGGCGCAGTGGAAAGTCGGTTTTTTTAAAGCTTGGAAGGCCTCCTCTTGTTCAGTTCTAGTTGGAGACTATGAGCGCCGCTGGCGAAATTCGGAACAAATCGGCGATAATAAGTACACAGCCCAAGAAAGCTTCTCAATTCATGCAAATTCCTGGGTCTCGGCCAATCCTTCACTGCTTCTATTTTTTCCTTCGCAGTGCAAACGCCCTTCGTGGTTACTTGATGACCTAAGTAATTCACCTCCTTCTTGAATAAAGAGCACTTCTTAGGACTTAGTTTAAGACCAGCGCCAGATACTCTCTGGAACACTTCTTCCAAATTACGCAGATGTTCATCGAAGCTTTTCCCCAATACGATGATGTCGTCCAGATACACCAAATAAGTCTTCCAGTGTAATCCTTTGAGCACATGGTCCATTAGTCTCTCGAACGTAGCAGGAACGTTGCATTTCACAAATGGCATTACCGTAAATTGCCATAGACCGTTGCCAACACTAAAGGCTGTCTTCTCTTTATCTTTTTCACACATTTCCACTTGCCAATACCCGCTCTTAAGATCGAGTGTTGAGAACCATTTTGTGCCAGTTAATGAGTCTAGTGTATCATCGATCCTGGGCAAAGGATAGCTGTCCTTCTTTGTGACATCGTCTAATCTTCGATAGTCCACGCAGAACCGCAACGAGAACAACCGGAGAGCTCCAAGGACTTGCAGATGGCTCGATAACACCGCTTTCGCTTAATCAGTTGGCCACCAGCGTCACGTTTGGCTAGTGACACGCTTCAAGGAGCTTGAAGAATTGGTCTTGCGCCACCCGTATCGATATGCGGATAAGTTGGCTGGCCTTGGCTGTCCTCACCAGTCGCCGTTTTTAATATTGCTCCAGGTAAGGGTCTCACTTCTTTAGCGATCAGATGAGTTCGAATAATGGAGTGTGATGCGCCCGTATCCACTGTTAATATTCGCCCTCGTCCATCGACATATCCACCAATAGTAATGTTGCTAGGTTTTCTGCCAATTTGCGATACGGTGTTTCAACCTCCACTTTATTGACTTTGTATGATGGTCTGCTTATGAGTGCCTCCATCTCACGTGTTTTTGCATACGCAACAGTTTCAGCGAAGGTCAACTTCGGATTCGCATATGTCTCCCGCTCGGTGTACACGTCTTTTATTCCGCTGATGAATCTTTGTATCTTCACCCTTTCAAGATGCTCACCCGATGTGTCTCCAATAGCTAAATGAGCCTCTTTCTCAACTTCCGAAGCATATTCCTGCAGAGATTCGTTGGATTTTTGGTCGCGCTTTTCTAACTCCACCTGGTAAATCTGTCTTCTGTGTTCGCTACCATAGTGACTTTCCAAAGCTTGCAAAAGTTCGGCTGCAGGTCCTTCCAACACAACGAATAGTGCAGCGGACTTTTCCTTTATGCTCCAGTTGTTTGTTTCAGCTGTCTTCTCAAATTGGAGCTTAAAGACTTGAAATACGATTTTCCTGTCAAAAGATGGTGTTTTTACCTTCGGAGCGTTCACTGAAGCGGTTGGACGATTTAGCTGCAATTCCCGGAAACGACTTTCCAGTGCGTTGACTTTGGTCTCAATTAGATCCTGCCTTTCCTTAAGTTCCGCATTGGTTCTCACCAGATTTTGCTGTATTTGCGCTATTGTTCTTTCCAAACATGGCATTCTGTGCATCCATCTTTTTCTTTCAGACATATTTTGTAAGATGCTGGCGTTCATTTTTGTGTCCTATGCATCCAACTTTTGTGAAATCGTAGTCAATAATATGTTTATGTCAGTACCCTTAGATGAGCCAGGAGCCTTTTTTTGAATCTTACTTGATGGTGATTCCAACTCCTTCAGCCTCTTCCTTGTCAATGTCCTTCAAGGATACATCTTTATCCTCGCGATGGAACTCGTACTGGTTCAAGTCGATGCCTTCAAATTCCATTGCTTCTCGCAGTCTCGATTGCATCTCTGCCTTATTTCCAGAGGTCGATAAGCCTCGCTTTACCAATTCCCTCTTGAGAGGAGGTATAGTCAATTTTGAAAATATTATCCTTTAGGATTCATTTAACAATATCACTTCTGACACCAAAAAAATCGCCAAC